GAAATTTTTACAGAAAAAGGACCAACTACAAAATATCATTGGTAACCTAATCGCTGAATTTGTCAAATGTGAGTCCATCTAAAACATTATGGTTTTTTTTTCTTGTGTTCATTTATGTATTTTTCCTTCCCTATTTGATGGTTATGTATGTTCTTATACCCAAAAGAACATAATGGTATAATACATAACCACAAGAACGTATGGTTTTATACATTATGTTCTTATGTATGTTCTTCAAGTTGTACCCATCAATGGTATAGGTATTAATTATAAAAAATATGACTGAAAATTTATGTTTTATGAAAACTAAATGTTATTTGAAATCAATTAAAATAGTGATAGAGAATCATATAATATAAATGTTGGTAAAAATATATACGAGAAACATAAGTGCGATGTGAGTATAAAACCACCCGCCAATAGTAATCGAACACCACATATACGAGCTAGATTTTACTATTGAACCATAGTTTTTTTTTTGCTAAACCACTATTGAACCATAGTTTTGTTCTGATCTACCATCTAACCATCACCACCTCATGGTTGTTACTTGTATTCGGTGGGGGATTTTGAAATATTTTTTATCGGGTCATAATTGATAAATTTGATATTATGTAAAATAAAATAAAATATTAGAATTATAATAGATGAAGAAATTATATGAATTAGTGGAGGCATTTTAAAATTTAAACACAAATTAAAGGGGGTTATTCAAGGTTGATAAAGGCTTTGGGAGCACCAAGTAATGCATCAATATATATTGCATGAAGTGAATCATTCGGTGATTCACGAGCACTAGATCCACTAGCTAAATTTTTTCATAATCTGGTAAAAAAAGAAACATTGGCACCTAGAGGCGAGTTCTTGCCGTAAATTCTCTGATCTTTCATTAAAATGTTGTTAAAGATACATTTTTTTAATATTTCTCTTCTTCTTGACTTTCTTTTGTCTAATGATTTCTTAATCATCATTTGATTGGTCTCTATTATAGTATTCTTTTTTGTAGTGATTCGTACCGACTTTGTTTGGTTTTGTGGGTTTCGCATATTTATATTATAAGTAAGAAGTTACTTTTATGTTTCTTGCTTTACTGTGGAAAGATGGCAACATGACTGTTGGTTAAAGGTGTTTTTTTAAATGTTTTGTAGGTTTTGTGTGTGTTGGTTTTTCGATTAACGAGGTCTATAAAATTTGAACTTTCTGATAAACATATAAACATGTACAAGGACAGTGACTCTGGAGTATACGAGACTTCTTGGTGCGAAAACACAACTTATGGCAGGAACAATGCACCATCTCACCGCGAGATGGCTGATGGTGAGACTAAGAATTTTACGAGGCCAAGGTTTTGGAGAAAGCATGGGAAAATCTCAAACACTTGGAGAGTTTCAACCAGCTTTACGATGTTTAATCCGATACATGAGCTTTTGATGCGGTAATTCTTAATAAGTCGAGACTCATCTTTTGCATTTGCTTATTGTAATTTGTGGAATCCCACTCTGACCTTTTGATTATCATCACGTACCGTGAGCCACAAGTTTGGTACAAAAAAACAGTATTAGGCGCTGCTTTCTCTTTATATCACCCAACAATACAAAAAAAAAAATCTTCCTGAGAGAAAGATAATAAATTTATAGCTCTTCACATTAATATATTAATTTTATTTTTCGATTTTTTTATTATAAAAATGGCATGATGGTTCTTGATAATTTTCTTTTAATCAATGAGACA